AAAAGGGAGAGGAAGAGGAAGAGGAGATTGAGAGATAGAGCGTGAGAAAAAGAGAGAGCGCGGGTACTTTACACAGAGTGTTCTTCCAACGATTTCCAAAGCACGTACACTGATGTCGCGAACGGAGCTCGCGAGTCAGACACATTCGAAGAAGTCCCTTCCAACCGAAATCCAGGATCGCAGAAAGCAGTGAGGTCTTTAGTGGAATGCGCATGTTCGTCATTACCTCTAACAATAACATTGATGACTGGCGGGCACGGTGCGTTCGAAAGAATGATGTTCGAGTTGCAGACCTCCTTAAATTATAAAACCTCGTGGGGAAGGAAAAATGTTGTGGCACTCATAGGGGATCATTATAAAAAAGGCGGGAGAGTGGGTCGAAAAGCAGGCCAAACTGAATGGACATGAACTAAGCAAATACTGACCGATCAAATGGAACTGGGCAACAATAGAAAACTGGAACCATTATCAAAATTGATCCATAAATGAAAAAAAAGGAACCCAGATATCCCAGATCCTGTCGTGGTTATTAGAGAAGGCTCGTAAGCATTTATAAAACATGGCCCTGGGAAACCCCTTCAATCTGAGTTCACACTTCACAAAAAGCAAGTTGATACCCACTCCTCTGTACTCTGAGGAGTGGGTAAATATCCAATGAATATGTTCTAGTGGACCGTAGGACAAGTAGTGTTGGGAAGAAATAATATGCAACCGATTGCAATGAAGAAGGCTCAACGACACATTTAGCAGCAGATGGGTGGCAGGAGGTAGTAACTATCGTCCCCAAGAAGTCCCACGTACCACTTCTATCATCCGTCATAATCAGGGTGACGTTACTGTCATATGAGTTGAGAAATTTTTCATAAAGAGAACATGCTTTGTGCACATTCTGAGCACTAACATTAGGAAAGGAGATAAAGAAAGCCACATCATAAGTTAATCGCAGTCCTGAAATAAACTTGCCATCTGAACCAATGAAAAATATTAACTTGAACTCATTATAGGAACACAACATACATGTTAAGGTCGGGCTAAAACATTTGTCTATTGGAATACCAACGATTTGTCGTATAATTTGTGAACTAGCAAAAAAGAAAATGTTTTTTAATTCGAAAATAACGGTCCTAACTAGTTGCGATAACTTAACTATGACCCAACTCTTATTAGACGTTTTCTTACTAGAGGACCATCCTTTCCCAAATCTGGTAACAACAATACTACGAATACCTTTGGAGGTGAATAAGTGACAGATCCACATGACTGACCCAATGATGGAGGCATGGGAAAGCTTAGTGAACATTTCCTTTATGTAAGCGGCTACCAAATATGAGGAAACCATAGTAGTATCACCTGACCCTTATGTCAACAAATCCGATTTCTTCTACAGCAGTAGTAGTATATCTGAGATTGAAGTGCAAAACCTTTGGTAGTGACAAGAGAAGTGCACTGATCATTTTACCGACTATCTGATTTACTCGAACTGTTAGTTCGGAAAAGGAAGGTGAAATAGGACTTTACCTTTCAATGTCTTTGTGCTTGGGGATCACATAGCAGTTACCGAATTTGCCTCTGTTGTTCCAACCAGCAATGAAATGTGATTTGGATTGAAATATTCCTCCTTGAGGGCACAAATAATATCAGATTTTGATCTCGTATCCGCTACAACCCCGTGATTATCTATAGAAAACCATTCTCATAGCATCATAATATACAGATTGGCAACATACGTAAGTATCACCCGGATTGTGATCTATTGACATTGCTACCAATCCCTCTGGTTTTCCATATAAGATCAGATTGGGAAAGAATTAAAGAAGGACGGAATCGAGGCGTCGGGTAGAAATAGTCAAAGACCATGGTCCTTGGTAAACACTCAGTCTGGCGGGGTACTTTCTTTAGACCAGCTGTAATAGCCCCCTTGATCTGCCCAAAGGACGATTCAAGCATAGACTTACAAATATTTATAGAATTTCAAAACACATATGGTAAGTCAAGAAGGTCAGAAAAGGGGAAAGAAATGTGACCAGCATTGTTACGTGGAAACGCAGCAGAATAGATACATAAGCAAAAAGGGGTTGTGGTCCTGACATACAATTGGTGGTTGTGAATTATTGAGACCATCATCGTCCGATTCGTCTCCATATGCATCCCGGGCTCTGATTTCTGCCAAATCAGCAGAAGTTTGCTTTTTGTTAAAATACTTGATGTTGTCAGTCTTACAGAGCGATTCAAGATGGTATTTCGACTTGGTTAGGAGTTCTTTCTCCGGGTCTTCTACATACTTAACACGGGCATCCTTACCACATGAAGCAACGGGTGCCTTCTTACCTGGGTTGATGCGATCGAAGCCCAGAGGTTCATCCTCATTCTGGGGGCGCACAGGAGAGACGGAGCGTCGTCGAGCTGAGTTGCCAGCCACAAAGGCAAACATACCGGCCAGGCGGCCCTGAGAACATTTTTCGTCGTCGTTCGTTATACGGTCGTTGGAAGGTTGGAAAAACAAGGCATGGCAGTTTAGGGGGTGGTGGCATCTTATTTGAAACTGCTGGACCGGTAGTTGCCTGTGGGACCACGCGGGTTTTGGTCTAGAACCATGTAGGACCGGTAGCTGCACGTAGGAGGCCGAGGAGGCCGCAATCCTTTTTCGAAATTGAAAAGGTGCGGGTCCACTTTTCTCGAAAAGTAGAGTTCCTCGAATAAAAAAGTACTTGTTGTATTCAAATACAACGTGTACCCTTTCTATTCGGATTTCGAAAAGAAAAAACTCTTGTATTCCGATAAAATTACTTCTTATTTTTGTTGGAGGTCAGTGCCTGCCCTTGTGCTCCCAGCCACTAACATGCTGCATGTTGCAGGTCTCTCTCTCTCTCTCACACACACACATACACACACACACACACACACACACACACACACACACACACAC